ATTCCATCCACATCTGTCCTCAGGGAATTATACACTGAGACAGTCCAGTGCTGGAGCCACGTCGAGGTGCTTCAGGATCCAGACTGCTCTAAGCGTGCACCGCACTGAGCAGGACTTGAACCCTGGACAGCGAGGATGCAGGCCCCGAGGTTTCAGCCTGGACTCAGTGGCTGGGTTTACTGTTAATAAAGCAGAACAAGATAGCCAACACAATAAAAGCATTGCTGTTTCAGTGAGCTGGAAGAGCTGAACTCTTAAGCTTATCTTTCTGGGTCTGTTTTTTTGGATCAGACAATCAGTGTGTCCTTCACTGAGGAAGCCCGCTTCACTGGACACACCCCGGAGGACCCGGTGGACATCTGCTCTCTCAAGTGGCGTTGTGAAGAATACGCTTTTTGTTTTGGGGGTTTTTTTCTTCTTTTTTTGGAGGGGTGGCAGGTAATTAAGTTTATTTATTTCTTTATTTTTAGAGGAGGTACTGGGGACTGAACCCAGGGCCTTGTGCATGCTAAGCATGTGCTCTACCAGTGAGCTATACCTCCCCATAAGAATATTCTGGTCAGAAAACACTGAGGAGAGCTTCCAGTTAGGACTAGAACACTTCAGATATTTCCCTTTTATCAAAGGAAAATGATTTTGGGTAGTTATTGATCTGGTACTGAAACAGAGCCATTGCACGCCCACCTCGCCTGCTGAGAGCCTCGCCCATGACTTTCTGAAATACCGAGGAGGGAGGCCTGCCGCTTGTGAACGACTGGCGCCCATTTCTCTAGGCCCGTGTCCACGGGGGCCGTCGGGAACTCGAGTTTGTGTTCATCTGACGTCATTATATAAAGGGGACTGTTAGCAAGTCTTGCTTGCTGACCTTGAGTGCCTAAGAAACGACCTGCCATCCTACCCCTCTACACTGAGAACCAGCTCTGGGCGAGGCCCTGAACTACATGGCGGGGCCAAGAAATGTGCCAGCCAGCCACAACTCCACCCGGTGGGGCTTACATTCTAGGGGAGGCACAATAAACGATGGGAGAAATACGAGTCAGCAAACCGGGTGGCACTCAGAGTGATCCAGATGCTGTTCTAAGACCTGTGCAAATATTAAGCCTACAGCCTGATGAGCTTTTTATGAGCTTTCATAAACGAGGAAAGTGAGCAATAGAGAGATTCTTATTTTGACGACCTGGTAAGAAACACAGCCGGGCCTTGACCTCAGGCAGATGGACTCCAAGGCATACCTGTATCTTAACCACCACCTTATACTGCCTCCAAGCGCACACTGATGTCTGGTAGGGTAGAAAGGAACACGATTCTCTGTGGAGAAAAATAAAGCAGGGAAGCGAGGAAAGAAAAGTGTTTAGGGGGTGGAGTGAAGCTTGCAATTTTATACAAGATGGTCCAGGGTGGGATCGTGAAGCTGTTACAAGGACCGGCTCTCAGGGTGAGAGGAAAGCCATCGGCAGCTTCTGCAACAAGGCGCGATGTGGTCTGGGTTATCCTGTGACAGGAGGAGTCTGGCAGGGGTGCGAAGGCAGACGAGAGGGGGCAAGGGCAGAAGCTGGGAGATGAGACAGGAAGTGATCACAACAATCTTGCAAAAGAGGAGGGGCCTGGGTGATGGCGACTGAGTGGAGGTGATGAGAAGTGACCGTATTCTGATCACGCTCCGGAGGTAGAGCAGGGCGGCAAGACCCACTGGGAGGGGAAGAGAGAAGTCGAGAATGACTTCAAGGTGCTTGGCCTGAAGGCCAGAAGGATGGGAAGACTGGAGGCAGAAGAGGCATAGGAAGCAGAATATCGGAGCTCAGCTTGGTGTTACACCGGGGACATTAACTACCCATCCAAGTGCAGATTTCAGTTGGGAAGATGAATGTGATCTTAAGGGTTCAAGGGGGACCATGCAAGTAGGCGAAAGATATAAAGGTGAAAGTCATCGGCAGATGTGCTTAAAGCTGGGACTAGCTGAGAGAACCAAGGGAATGAGCAGAGACAGAAAGGGGATGAGGCCTCGGGTGGTTTCTTCTCCATCAGGAGAGCCCTTCTGTGGAAAGAGGTCAGCAAGATGAGGAGGAATCAGCGAAGCGGACCAAGAAGGGGTGATCTGTGAGCCAGGAGAAAAGCCACATGGCACACGATATCCTGGAAGCCAAGGAAAGTGTAAGGAGAAAGGAATGATCAGCCACGCTAAATGATGCTGAAAAGGCCAGGAAACGAAGTCTGAGAGGTGGCCATTGGGTTTTGCCCTCTGGAGGTCCTTGAAGGCCTTGGCGGGGGCAGTGTCGGTGGAGTGGTGAAGGCCAAGACCTACTCACAGAGGTTGGAGGGGCTTCCTGAACTCTAACTGCAGCAGCTCCAAGAGAGACTGGGAAGAAAGAACCCAAGGAGGGCACAGATAGACAACCCTTCTTGCCCCCAAGGGAGGCCAACGTAAAATGGAGCAGAAAGGACGGCCGAAGCTGAAGCATAACGTGGGCCCAAGGGAGTTGTTTTTAAGATGCGAAAAATCCAGGAGAAAAAGAAAAACCGGTGACTCGGAAGAGAAGGTGATGACCCTTCTCCAGGGGGTGGAGCGCGGTCCTTGACGAGGGCAGGGAAGGAGCCCCCTGTGGGCCTTAGATGGGGACAGGATGGGGGGGCGGGTAGAGGGGGGCGGGCTGATGGATCTGGCAGTAAAGCACATGGTAGAGGTTCTCTTCCGCGGTCTTCTGTTTTCTCAGAGTCTTAGGAGATAGGTCACTAGCAGAGTGACATGGGGACGGGGTGGGAGAGGTTTGGAGAAAGGGGGAAAGTGAAATGGTCTTCAAGCAGGATGGAAGAACCAGCGGACGTGGGAGACGGAGCCTGACTGCTCAGAACCCCTTGAGGTTAATGAGCATAATTTCAAAGCGTGGCAGTGAGTTGTGTGGGGGATTCTGGTGGGACTCAAAGGGAGAGATTCTAAAGACTGACCGTGGCACTGACCGTGGGCCAGGAGGGCCGTGATGGCGAGACGATGTGGAGGAAGTCCAAAGGCAGTAGGTTCAGTGCACTGTAGGCCCCAGTGGAGCTGAGGTTTCAAAGTCTGGGCACCAGAGAGACTGACCTCCAAAGATCAGAGGCAGTGAGTAGAGACTGGGGGCTTGAAACTGAGGCTCTGGAAGACGTACGGTCACTTGGAATGTCAAGGTCTACATGTGATTGCCGGAGTGAGTAGCTGAGTAGGGTGTGTTTTACTAGAGGATTTATTGGTTAAACATCACATTTTTCTCTCTTTCAACCCTGTCCCAGTGGAAGCCGCCTCAGTAAATTGCCCCAAAGTTTTAGTGCTCAAATGAAGCCAAATGAAATCTTTGTTCACTGGCAGCCCACAGACCAGAGTGAACCATGGTGATTCATAGATGCCCCGACTGTCCGCGCCCTCCACACAGACACATGACGGGGACATCTGGTGGAAGTGGATGGGTCTGAATCCCGAACGAACGTTAGTGTACATACTTGGGGTTGATGAAGTATACCTGAGTAATTTCTGTAAAGCTGGTGATTTAAGTAGAGATATTAGATCTGCTCTAACCAAATATCAGATTACTGCATTTCCTTTTGCGGTTGCCACATGCATTCTGCAATCTGGCCTTCGTTTAAGTGTTCCCCCAGGCAAAGAATTTGAAAACCATTTACCCAGAAATCCTTAATCAGAACTCTTAATCTGACTGAATTTTTTTTTCAGCAATTGAGTTAACTGAAAAGAAAAACATCATCAAAAATAAAAGCTCATATCAATTATCTCGCTGAAAAAAAAAAGACAAGTATCAAAAAATCTCCAAATGAAGTCAAATGGTGAGCAAAAATTTGGCTTACGCTGTCTACATTAATGGTAGTGCTTAAGAGTAAACATAATGATTAAGAATGAACAAGGTCCAAAATCTTCCAGAAAGATGGTAATAATCATGCTTTAGGCAACGTGGGTGACAAGGGAGGGCGCCTAAGTTGTTAAATGCAGGCATGAACGCCTTAGTTTGCAAGGTGAATGAGCCACGCTGTAGAAAACTCTGTTAGCAGAGGGTTCGGTAGCCAGAGACCATATTGGGCTTCACCATTTTCTTTCCTGAACTTTCCATTTAATCAAGGATTCTCCATTTGCTGCGTTTACAGGAAGTGGGAAATTGAGAAGGCTCTGAGCTGCCCGGGATCATTCCTTCTAAAACTCTTCACCGTGATTACAGTGGAGCTGTTCAAGGGAAACCCCCACGACTCATTTTAATGGCCCGAGATACCAGGTCCACACAAAGGCCTGTTTTCAGGTGTTTGTGGAGGCACAGCAGAACAGGACAAGACAGGAACCCAGGCCTCCACCGCAGGGGAGTGGATGTGCCTGTGCACCACGCCACGGGTGGGTTTCCAAAGAACTGCGTCAGAGCCGTGGAATGCCGTGGCTCGGGCTGGGCCTGACCCGAGCATGTTAACGGTCTCTCTGTCTTGAGGTCAACTTTGGAGGAATGAACAAGCGCCTCTTTCTGGCAGCCTGTGCTTTGGAAGCAAATTTGGATGGCTTTAAGAGAAAAGGTATTCTGATAGAACGGAGTCAGTGGTGGCTGAAGTCTGATCCGACCCAAACATACACTCATCAGTCTCACAAGCAGTCTTGCCTAGGAGATGTCCGTGGGGTTTCCCAGCCAATTATCTGAATTCTAATTATTCTAATTCTGAGACACAGAATTTATTCTCAAGTTGCTTGGTGGTGTGTGGTAGGTGGCGAGGGGTGTGCGTGTGTTTAATTTTTAAGAGCATGTTGATACCAGATGGATCTATAGAAAGGGGAATGAGAGTCGCTTCCTTTTTGGGGAGGGGCAGGATTCATGCCCACAAAAGGAGCCTAGTGGCCCAGAACACTGAGAGCACATTTTAGGACATGCTGAGGTAACCAGTTTAAACTTGCCAAAGGATGCTTTTCCACTTGGCTCACAGCTATTCATTCACATTGGCTCATTTTATTTTTAATTCCTTATTCATTTTCAGATCTTTCCGTGTAGAGTTACCGAGGAATTGCTAATTCCAGAGCTGCCCTTTGTGACACTTGACTAGAAGATTAAGTCAGGTTTTAGAAATCTTGTTTTTGTCCTTTTTCCCCTGTGCCCAGCTTAAGAACACCCCAAAGAGTAATAGTTAGTTACAGAAAGTGGTGCATTTTAAAAGGATAGCAATTTGAGGGAAGTCGGCTTTTGATTAATTTCAGTGGCCCTTAGTAAAAATAAAATAATTCATTCAAACAAAGATTAGACTAGAAAAATTACTGGAGGAGAAAAGACAAATCCCCGACACAGAAGGATTCCAAATAATTCTAAGTACTCTGCCCTCGCGCAGGTTGGGGGTAACTCCCCACCCTCACGTGTGGGTGGCGTGTAGGGACTTCCTTCCAAAGAGACCGATGTGGAAGGTGGAGAAAGGGTAATTTTACAGTGGAGAAACCTGGCCAGCACTGTCTCAGCCGGGCGACCAAAGTCAACTTCAACAGTGAGAAGTCATGTTGACAATGTGTATACTTGATACAGTGAAATGAAAATGGCTCTGACTTTTGTGGTCTTCCTCCTAGAAACACACAACCCCAGCCTAATAACGAGAAAAACATCAGAAAAATCCCAGTGGAGGGACATCGTACAGAACACATAACCAGGACTCTTCAAAACTGTTAAGGTCATCAAAAACTAGTCTGAGAAACTGTCACCGCCAAGAGGAGTCCAAGGAGACACCGCAACCATGTGTAATCTGGTGTCCTGGACGCATCCCGGGAGCAGACCAAAGGACATGAGGTAAGAACGAAGGAAATCTGGATTAAAATACGGACGTTAGTTGATGATAACGTATCCACATCAGTCCATCAGTTGTAACAAACATGCCATCCTAACGTAAGATGTAATGGGGCAAATGAACATGGGGTATGTGGGAATTCTCTGTACTATATACTCAATTGTTCTATAAATCTATAACTTTTCTAAAAAGAAAAATCTTTTTTTTTTTTAAATTGCTTGGCTGAAAGGTAAACCCCACTGCTCTCATAGAGTCCGTCTGACGCAGAGAAGTCTGATGATGAATCGGGCAGTTCGGGGCAGTCGGAACCCTGTAAGGACGAGCTCCACAGGCCAGAGATGTGAAGGGAAGAGAAGTGTGTCCCCAAGCTCCCCGCCCCCCGCTTCTGTGCATTTCCCCTTCCAAAGGTGAGCACTAATACCTACGCGGTAATTCACCCACTCATGGCTTTCCCCTGCACGGTAGCCCACGCTGTGAGGTAGGTAATGCTGTTACTGTCATTTTATCCAGGAAGAAAACGAGCCCTAGCAAGCTGAAGGACCCGAGATCACCCTGCCTGTAAGGGTGGAGCCCGGGCTGGGATAAAAATCACGGTCTGGGCCCCAGGGAGAGTGGGTTTATATGGTTTTTGTTTTTGGTTTTTTTTTTACTGAAATATAATTAATTTACAATATTGTGTTAGTTTCAGGTATACAGAAAATGATTCAATTATATATATATATATTTTTTCAGATTATTTCCCATTGTAGGTTAAGACACTCAATAGAATTCCCTGTGCTATACAGTAACTCCTTGTTGCTTATCTGTTTTCTATATAGAAGTTTGCATCTCTTAATCCAATACTACTTTATATATGGTTTTTGGGTTTTTTTTTACTGAAATATAATTAATTTACAATATTGTGTTAGTTTCAGATATGAATCCCATCCTATAGTTGATTCTAGCCCTAAAGCTAACATTGTGCCCACCTGATGGATTGGAAACAACCCAACCTTGGGGCATTTTCAAGTGGTTTCTGTAATGAGCATTAGAGAACCCACAGGTGTGCCTGGGTGAGGATTTGGGAGGCTGAGCAGACTTTCCCAACCCTGTATTTCAGAAAGGCTCACTCCCTTTTATTTACCCAGTAAGACAAAATTGTATATATCAGCCCAAACAGAGAGAACTAGGTTCTTTTTTTTTAGTTTCTTTTTTTTCTTTTTGCATGATACTTTAAAAAATTACTATTATTTTTTGTGGGGGGCATTAAGTTTACTTATTTATTTTATTTTTTTAATGGTGGCACTGGGGATTAGAACCCAGGACCTCATGCATGGTGAGCAAGCACTCTACCTCTGAGCTATACCCTCCCCCTAAGAACTAGGTTCTCTGACATGTTTGCAAAAGATGTGCAGAAGATGTTGAAAAAGTAATTTGAAACAGCAACTTCTCAAACTCTGTCCTTTTCCATAAATTTCCTTAAGTGGTTAGAAAGTTCACAACTTTATAAAGACTCTTAGAAAGGCTAGTCAAAGAATAGACCCATTTAGAAACTTCATAAATACAGGCAACTAAAAAAATAAAATATTCCATCACAACTTCCTGCTGGAAAAGTCAAAGTGAGTTCAGATCACGTGGAGGGAAGACCTCACCTCCGGAAGACGCTGTTTGTTTTGAAAGTTCCCTGGGGTGTGGGATGGTGACAAGTCCTCTCTTTTTTTCCCCCTTTGGTTATCTGTGTTTTCTAATGTATCTCCAGTGGACATGTATTGCTCCTGTCGTAATAGAAATAAACAAGAAAAGCTATGAAAAATAAAGATAGATCAGACCGCTGTTTTGGCAGGAAGCGGCTCACCTGGAATCTCATGTTGTGAACGTGCACAGCGGTGGTTCTTCCTGTGACTGACCAAGTGCTGCAAGAGGGCGACTTCTGTGGCTGCAGCAGACTCCAGGCAATGCGTGCTGCCGGTGGACTGAAGATCTGGTCGAGAGTTTGAATCGCCTGGTTCCACAGAATTAACAAATAACTGGAAGACAATGCAGAAAATGAAGCAAGGGGGAGGGGAGAGCTCAGTGGTAGAGTGTGTGCTTAGCATGCACGAGGTCCTGGGTTCCATCCGCAGTACCTCCATCTAATAAATAAGTAGATAAACCTAATTACCAACCCCCCCCAAAGTTTGTTTAAAAACAGAAAACAAAGCAAAACGAAACCAACCAACAAACAAAACCACACACGGCTAAGACTGGAGCACAGGTAACACAAGGAATCAGGACTAATCAGCCTGGAGGAGCGGAATGAGGATGAGCCAGTGGGCTTTCCTTCTGAGGCTGCTGTGTTCTTTTGTTGTTCAGCTCTGCCCAGGGAAGAACAAGAGGGGAAAAAATATCAACTTAGGCTGACAGGTGAGCAACCTACATTGATCCCACTGAGTCCAGTTTTCTCTCATCATGTAGTTGCATCATGATTCAGGGGATGGGACTCAGCTCCAAGGCGGGCCCATGTTGACCCAAGCCAGGGGCTGGCAAACTTTTTCTGTGAAAGGCCAGATAGTAAATGAGGATGTGTAGGCTGTGTGGTCAGTAACTGCTGAACACTGCTGTTTTATGCAAAAGGAGCCACGGATAATCTGCAGAGGAAGAGTGTGACTGTGTTCTAATAAAACTTCCAGAAACAGCTGGTGGGCAGGATTTGGTCCACACCCATAGTTTGCCGACCTCTGGCCTAAACCAGTCATAGTTTTTCCGTCTCTCTTGCCAATGATTAGGATGCCCCAGCTTAAACCAATCAGCAAGAAGCATTTTCCTGGGGATAATGACTGGTTCAGAGGCAGGCATACAACCTAAATTGGCCCAGTCAGGAAGGGGAAAGATTTTTGGGTGACATTTGGGAGAGGAGAGAGGGTTCTGCTCCTCTGACCCCTACGTGAATCAGGATGCGCATAACCCTGCTTGTTACTGGCAACCAGTCTGCGGCTAGGAGGGAATCGGCCCTGAGACTAAGTGAACTCTGGATGACAGAGGAAAAAGATGGGACTCTGATCCCTGACGGTATTGTTAGACCGCAGGGTGATTTAGCCCTATTTCCCACTCCACCTCTGGATTTTCAAGCCTTGCGCAAGCCTCGAAATTTGCTTATGATAAAAAAACCACTCTGAGTCGGGATTTCTACTACTTGTAGCTCAATGCATCCTATCTCATGGGAAATTTTAAAAAATAAGTTTATGGCTCTCAAAGTTTTTTTTTAATTTAATAGACTTTATTCTTTTAGAGCAGTTTCAGGTTCACAGCAGAATTGAGCAGAAAATACAGAGTTAGCACGTAGCCCTCCTCACCCACACATACATCCTCCCCTCCTCTCAGCATCTCTCATCAGTGTGGCGTATTTGGTACAATCGATGAACCAACATGGACACGTTATTATCAACCAAAGTCCACAGTTCACATTACGGTTCACTCTTGGTGTACATTCTGTGGGTTTTGACAAATCCATAATGACATGTAGCCACCACTACAGTATCACACAGAATAATTCCATTGCCCTAAACATCTGTTGTGCCCCATCTATTCATTCCTCCCTCCCTCCCTGTCCCCAAAACCCTGGAAACTACAATCGTTTTATTGTTTCTATAGCTGCGTATGGCTCTCAAAGTTTGCAAACACTAAAAAGAGTTGACACCGTTTCTATCAAACTTCCTTTCTGTCTTTAAACATAAATGGAAAATAGAGAATAAAACCACGACAACTCTCTTTAATTTCCCAGATTGGTAACGATGTGTCTTCCAGGGAGCAGAAAAGGTTGGATGGAATAACTTTTCATGTGTGGAACTGCGGACTATCTGGGTTGAAAGACACTTACTCTGTGATGAGACCAAGAAGGTGGATGCAAAGACGCCCTCGGGATCTGGACTTTCTCTCTGTCTTCCCTTCACATCCTTTGTCTAAAGGCAGGTCTCTTCCCTGTTTCATCTTCAAGTTCTAAACATAAGAAAGTACTTTTTATAAGCAACATGTCATTTTGAAATCTGATTTTTTTACAACACTTTTATTATAGTTATGTGCAATTCTTCTATAGTCATTTTAGTCTCTTGTACTCATACATTTATAGCTTTGGCAATCTGTGAAATTATCTTGATAAAATAAGAGAGCTTGAGTCTTAGAATTGTTTTTCCTGCAAGCAGTTATAATATTAACTTAGTCAACTTCCTAACGTTCTCCAGAGGTAATTTAGATAAGATATAATTTCCCTCGTCATATTAATATGTAAACTGGGATATAGAAACCGGTAAGTGAATTCAGTCTTGCAAAATCAATACTAAACATGTATTATTCATTCAAAAAGATGTCACCGAGGGCCTACTAAGAGCTGGGTGCTGTTCTAGACATAGTTACAGCACAAAGTCCCTGCTGTCCTGGGGCTTATGTTCTAGAAGGAGAGATGGATGAAAAAAAAATGTAACTCTTATGTCGAGTGATCATCAGTGGTAAGAAGAAGCAGAAAGCAAAGGAAGAAATAGAGAATGATCGGCAGGGGAGGGTGGTGGCACCCGATCGCAGTGTTCTCAGGTGGGCTGGGCTCTGCGGTGCATGGGCTTCTTGTCTGAGAAACAGCAGAGGGGCCAGTGCGGCTGGACGGAACGAAGGAGACAGAGACCTGGAGGGGACTGGCTGGAGGCGTGGCGCAGGGCGCTTCGGGTATGACCTTAGAGGCTGCATAATGGCTCTGGGGTTTATTCCGGGACTCACTGGAAGGATCACAAGCCTACAGAGTCTCTGATCAGCCCAGATGTCCCCAGCAATACCAAAGACATACGATTTATGAATCCTTTCTGCTCATCAAGCTGATTTATAGTCTGAGCAAGCAGTGGAGTAGCCATTTATTCGATAGATTGAAAGGATTCATTCATTTCTCTCTTTCAGTTCAACTTACTCTATCAGGATGAGCCTTTGAAACTGCACTACATATTTTTCCCTTTGGTTCCCTTCATGCCTAGTAAACTGTGTTCTTATAGCACCTGTCTTATCACCCTTCTCCCACAGATTATACAGAATGAGCTGTGTTATCATCAAGTGTCTCCCACCATGCCTGGCCCACGGCACATGCTCAGAAACATTCACTTAACAAGTAGATGGAAGGATGAGCACAGGACAATATTTTATTGTGATAAAACATTCTCTGCGTAAAAATTATCTCCATAAAATACATTTCTCAGACTTATATAATTTAGCCTAACGTCACTGAAAAATATAGCTTACAAGCATTTCTTTCCTCTTTCTTACATCACATTATTTTCCTTAAAAAGATCAAATCATAAAATCAAAATCTGCATGGTGGTGATAGCTTGTGTAGGTAAATTCCTTTTGTAGGTTATTACAACACCTGAGTAAATTTTCAAGAGTGTTCTAGAAGGCAATTTGAAATACCTTTTTGGTGTTTTTACATATGCTAATTATTTAATTCCTCATAGAACACCTTTCAAGTATAGCAATGTGAATACCTTACTTTGCAATTGTGAAAACAAAAAATACGTGCAACTTTCCAAATTTTAGACTCAAGAAGGTGAAACTAAAAGAGTATAAAACTTAACACCTCATTTCCAGGCATCTGGTTTATAGGACTGTATTAATATGAAAGCGATACTTGCCAGTAGAAATGCAGGGTTATTTGGAAAAGTTTAGGTAACACATAAGAGAAACTCTCTGCTGGGTAAAATGTTAACAATCAAACAATAAGTTGTTAAGAATGTACTTTCAACAATTTTTTTTTCACCAGACACGATTTTATATACCCACTGATTTTGCAAGAACTCAAATTAAGGGACTGTTGACTACAACATACAACACTTAAGTGGTAGAGCGCATACGTAACGTGCACGAGGTCCTGGATTCAATCCCCAGTACCTCCATTAAAACAAGCAAACCTAATTACCACCCCCCCCAAAAAAACCCCAAACCAACAAACAAATTAAAAAAAAAAACACTTAGTTACAAGTGACCGTTGTGAAGGAGGTGCTGAGTGAGATTCCATTTACAAAAAGGATACCAGAGAAGGTCTTGGACCTGAGCTGTTTATGTAATATGGTAGCCTCTAACCACATGTGGCTAATTAAATTTAGATAAAATTAAATAAATGAAAAATGTAGCACCTCAGTGCACCAGTCACATGTAAAATGCTCAATAGATACATGTGGTTAGTGGCTCCCCTGTTAGGAAGCACACATGTAGAGCATTTCCATCACTGCAGAAATGTCCGCTGGACAACACTGCCTTAGAAAGAGCAGACAGGGGAGTCGGGCTGGCAAAATCTTTAATAAAGGCAGGCAAGCAACTTACTCTGGAAAAGGAAGCGTGGATTCTGGGAAGGAGACATCCAATCACACTAGCATGGCCCTTTGGGAGTATAACTGAGTTTCGAGACAAGACAGAAACAATAGTGGTTTGTTCGGTTGTTCCAAAATTCCACACCAAAAATAATTTTTCAACTTTCATTACCCTAGAACCGGAAGTCCTATTTTGTTACGCACAGGGAACTTGCTTAGAGGGGGGAGTGGGAAGGTTTTTGGATGGAGGAAAATGTGCTAAAGGCAATGTTCTTCAAAGACTGGTGTGGTAAGCGATGCTTTCTAAAATGATTGTAAATTACCTGGAAGACATAATACGTGGTTTAACCTTCCGAACGGTGCTTTGCTAAAGTTAGTGCTAAATATCAGTGCAGAGAAAAGAAATTTTTTTTTGGAAAGGCTCAAAAGAACCTGAGTAAGCAGAAAGTTGAAATGTGAAATTCAGTGAAAACTGGTGTTAATTGTTATATTTAAGGGAACGTAATCCAAATGAGAATAACAAAATGGTGGTATCTGAATCCAACTTCACCTCAAAGGCAAAATCAAGAAGCCATGTGGACTGATTCTTTCATTCCCATTTCCCACTGATGACTGAAAGGAGCCCCAGTGGAGAACAGTTTCCTTCCTTTGGGTACATGCAGGCCCGTGCCCGGGTGTGTGGCTTGGCAGGAAAAGCTCCCTGCTGGATTTTAGTACTCTATCCCCACCCGCTCCCCACCGCTCCCAGCCCCCGCCCCGCCCTCCAGCTTCCTCTGCCAGATACTCTTATGCTGGCCACAGCGGTACAAGGTGACCCGCATGGGGCCCTCCATCCAAAACTGTTATGATGCCAGTTTGCAAGCTGTGGTGCATCCAAGCGTAAGATGCTTTTGCAAACTGGTCTCTTTTTGTCAATACACACATGGGAAAGCTTGGAAATATCCTTTAAAAAGCAACCAAAATCATCACAAGGGCAGACTACTAGATGAGTCTAAAAATAGGATTTTTCAGCCAGAAAGGCAAAGGACATAGATTCATAAATTCACAAGAGATTGGGAAATGGTTGAAATACACTCTAGTTTAGCAAATGCTGAAGTTGTAGAACCAGGGATGATTAAGAGATCCTTTTAGCAAAATAAAGTCGACTTTATATAGCAAATTGAAAACGTCTAGAAAATACAGATGTTTAAAAGAGAGAATTGGTTACATTTATAGGTGATAATTCCATAGTATGCTAATAAGTGCATTTTAAGGAAATTTTGGACTGTTTTTCTAAACATTTAAAGTTAGTGTCATGGAGGCAACCCACCCCCCACCTCCCAAAACCTCCGCTGATGCTCCTGAGAGGTCCAGCCTCGCTCTGTGTGAGGGGACATTGGCCTGAATCAGCTGCATTTTGTGTGTTCTCACTCTTTTGACTCTGTCAGTGTTCCGGAGGGAAAATCAACCTTGTGGTTGACTGGTTAGACAAGATCTGGTTCTGAAAGGAAGCTCATTAAATTAATTTTTATTAATACAAATTTATTTATAAAGTTAGTAAGAATTCTTCAGAAAATCTCAACAGGAAAGATTAGCATGAAGATAACATTGGGACAGTTACCTCTGAGATGGATTTTCCATCGGGCCCTGGAGGGGAGAAGATTTGGATTTGCCCTTTTCTTAGAAAATATTGAACGTAGGAGCAAAACCTAAAAACCCAAACAACCAAACAAAAGCCCATAAATTTTACTCCAAAGGAGATTTTCTACCTAGAGTCCAAGTACTACATTGTGTGTGTGTGTGTGTGTAATTAAAGCCTAAGTGAAATCCATTTTTAAGTTTGCGTGAAGCATGTAAAATGTATTCAGTTCCACAGAATCAATTCTGCTGCAAAGCCAAGCGGTTATTCTGCTTTAGCTGAGATTTTGTAAGTTGCTTCCCAGGGCTGTACTGACAGAGGACCCCGCGATAAGGAAATAGCAGAGGCATTAGCAGCTTTGTAAAGCATGGCAGTTAAACCTTGCTTTGCTCTGCATTCATACAATAAAAGGCAAAACATTGAAACGATTGTTCA